AGCAGGACTTCAGATGTGTAATTTTGTTTAATTATTTCTTCCAAGGTTGACACGTAATTGCAGAGTGAATATTGATGAAACACAGGGATCAGCAGACTGCAGATTTTACAAAATGTTCTTGCTACGGAAAAGGTTCCTTCCCTGTGGACGTGGGCTACTCTCTGCTTCCCTCCCCACCTGCCCTTTTTTTTTTAGCCATCACTATGAAACATTTTTACTATCCATGTCAGTTCAGTGCCATCTACTTTGTATTTCATATTGTCACCTCTACTAAGCAAACCTTAGTTTTATTCTTCAGAATGCTGTGCTTTCCAACAGCAGCAGGCCCTCAATTAGAACTATTCTAAATGAGATTTAGCACTGACAGCAGTCCATTTACACCAGTTTCTCTTAAAGCTGCTAGATCTGCCACTTGACCAAACTAAAAAATGGAGACTTCTCTTCCAAAATATTTAGCCTACAGAAGGCCTGTTGTAATAAACCCCACAAAGCATGCTATACAATGACAATAAGAGTAGCTAGAAGAAAAAGGGAAACGCTTTTTAATTTGAAAAGCTTCATTCTACAGAGTCAGCGTCTATAGACTTTTAAACACACAAAATAATGCCACAGTAGTACAGCATTACAAATGCACATATATATTATTAAAGACTTATTAGAGTGTTCTTATAACACAGTAACAGAGAAACTGAGGCAAAGAGAGCCTTAGCCAGTTTTGCTACCTGTTCCCCCCTTCTCTCGCACTCACTGTAACTTTTGTCTCATGATTGTTTTCTGCCAAACATGAAAATTTAGGCAACTCTGAAAAACCCAATTCCCTATGAAGTTTTGTAGACATTCATAACTGGTAGAAAAGTGGCACTCATACTAGTTCCTACCCTGAACGAAAGGCAGGGAAGACCTGGGCATACAGCCTGGCAGTAGTGGGACGACCAATTAGCACGCACACATACGCAGTTCCAATGCAAATGTATAGAGCTAGGTGTAAGGCAGCAAGATGCAGGCTACAAAAGACAAAAAGGAAAAAAAACCAAAACCCTCACGTATACCAACATGAAAATGGGCTTCATTAGCTCCACTACTCACAAGGAAACTCCTCCACTTAAAATTTGTTTTGAAAAAAATTAATGGGTGTGACACTTCCTAATTGTATAAGGCAAGTCTCACTAAGCTCGAATGACTGTATCAAGAACGACTGTAGATAATGTTTTCAAGTTACCTGCAGCTCTTGATTGCTTCTCAGACATCATTATATTACTGTTTTCTTTCGCCTTTCCTATTTCATCATGAAAACTCATTACTTCTAACAAAATGGTGCTGAGGGAAGCGATGCTTGGTAGTTTTTATGCTTCAGTATCAACAGTACTAATTTCCTACTAATCCAGCTGCATTTTAATTAAAGCAAACATTGAATTCTGGATAAGAAGGGTAAGTGCAGAGTGAAGAAATGCCTCTTAAGCATAGCAACAAAGACAGATGAAGGAACTGACTTCCTCCTCAAGAGCTAGAGCACTAAGCTCTAATACTAATACAGACACAGCAGAAGAATCATGTCCTAACAAAGACAGACACTTGAAAAGCTGACAATCCCAAAAAGCAATCCTTATTTTTAATATTGCTGGGAAAGTTAAAACCAAAAAGCCATAGATCTTTGCCTGCACAAAATGACAAAAAACCCAATGCCAAACTCAAACTTGAATTCATTAGAAACAATTAGTATAAATTCAGGTATCTGAACAAGACACCAGTTAGATATGAAACAGAAACATGAATACCATGTCAGAGTACTTGACGCCTTCAGCTATGGTCAGCTTCTAAAGTTCAGAGGAATATCTTTAAAAAATCAATATAGATAGCTAACAGTCCATCAAGGAAATATTTTCTACACTTCTTCAGGCAGCAAGTATGAGATTTATTATTAGAAACTTTCTTACGGTACAGTTGAAAATGTCACAGGTATGAAAGACAAACAATCATCTTCTTTCTAAAGCATACTAAGGAAAGGGCTGAACACAACGATTCAGACTGCAAGACTAGAAGGGAGAGTCTTGACCATTCAGTTACACATATTGCAATCAAAGGCTATGAAACTTCTCACAAAAGAAACTTTAATTCTTTTCTATACAAATTCTGAATATAGCTTATTCCATTAGCATATTTATATTTAATCTATTTCTACAATAACAGAATGTCTCCTGCCCACCTGTCATGCTTAATTTCTCTGCTTTTTCAGAAATCACATAGTCCGCTTATTAACAGCTTTAAACTGGCCCTCTGCAGTTCACATTGAACTCTAGTTCACAGCAAATGTATTTTTTCTGTAATTAAGTACAACGAAAAATCAAAGTTTCTCCAACCTTTGTATCATCTGGTCAAAAACAAGGACAGTGGTTTTGGGGCAGGGGAAGAAGGAGGAAAACAAATCACAAAGATGAGCCTTTATTACCTGAAACTTGTTCAACTTGGATTATTTACCTCCAATTTCTGAAAATTACATCCAAATTGTTAACAGTATGCAGAGACTGAAAAATTACTTTAAAATAACTACCTAAAGGATACAACTTTATAGAAGGTATTTTGCATCTGAAAACTAGCCTTCAAGTTGTTTAGAAGGAAGCTATTTTGGGGCTGTGAAATTATGTTACAGGGTAGATGCTTTTACTCAGATAAGTATGAATATTACCATTGCTCTGGCTTTTGCACTTCATTACGCAATTTTCCTTTTTTGATTAGCAATGTTTTCTTTAAACTATGTGTCTTCTATGCAAACAGTGCTTGGAGACATTCAACATAGCTGCCACAACACTTCAAGGGTTGCTTAAGAAAATGCTAAAAGCTTTCATCTTTCTAAGTTTCCTAAGACTGAGAGCAGTGAAACTTTTCTGAATACTTCACACAGAAACAAGTTTCATCCTGATCAAAAAAGGCCACAATTTCTTGGAAATATCTGTCGCCAGACCTGAAGCATCTGATCCAGCTGTGCTGAGGGAGCCTGCCAAAACATCCGCAGAAGATCTGGGAGCTGCCGCCAAACCAAGAGACATAAACAAGAACGACTGCCAGGAACAGCACGGCGAGATATTCTACCCAGGGGAGAAGGCACCAGCCTTATGCTGATGAGACACACCAGTGCAGAAAACAACATAAAATTAAATCAAGTGTTTCTAGAGACATGGCTCAGGAGTACAGTTCTTTGGTTAAAATATGTTAAGACAGGAAATGAGCTAGACTAGATAAAATAGGACATGTACTTGAGAGAAACAGTGCTACATTTCAGCTAGCTTCTGAAAATCCAGAGGAAACAATGCAATTTACTGGTTGTGGAGCAAGTATTGATAAAGTAATAAAAAGTAACCCTCAACTGTCAACAGCCTCCCATTGTAATCTACTGGATGTTGGCAAAACTACGTTAAAACTGCAGTTGAACAAATGATAGTGCTTAACTATTAACTACCTCCTTCTATAGCTCTTTGCTATGTAGTGTATTAGGACTCTTCAGGAGAAATAACTGGGCTTCCTATACATGCAACAAAAAGGTAATCTTACAATTATTAACATAAGGACCAAACATTAAACTAAATTTGTCAGAAAAACATGATAATCTGTAAAACTAATTTTCTACCTTACCCACTATAAAATTACATAAGTGCCATGAAATAGAGAACAATGACAATGCTTCCAAATTTGTTTATCTATAGTAAATCTTGGAAACATTTGGTTGATAAAAGAAACGCTGAACATCCATTATACAAAACAGCAGCTCATAAAAGCATGTCTCTGAGAAAACCAATGTCGCTCATTTCTTGCTCACGGTTTCCTTAGGGCATTGCGAACACAGGCTACTCTGGACCACAATTTCATATTCTGTCCCATTACTCATAACTTACTTCATCTAGCTAAGAAAGATTTGGTGTGCTGCAAGGCCAGGACAGAAATGAAGGAATGTAGGAATGCTTCCCTGGTCCCTCTTACCCGCACCACCCTTCCCCTAACTTGACCAGAAATGTTTTCCTCCTACCTTGTAGGATCTCATCTTCCAGCTCTGAGATCCCAGTGGAAACAGCCAGCATCCCAACTGACTACTGCCTGACCAGGCTGATGCCTCATTTAGGAAAATGCTGGGAAAGAGAGCAGTGCTTTCACGCTCAGTATGTTGCCATTCTTCTAAGTATCAAGCAAGAACACTTGCTGGGAGGCATTTCCAGCAGGAAAATCTTCAGAAACTGGCAGATAATACTGCTGTTTAAAACCACAAACCCTTATAAATAGCTGTCTCCAGCACACACCATTCACAAGCACCACATTTACTTTAAAAACCATTGCATACCCTTACTGAAACTGTCAAACTAGATCGGATCAGCTGACTGTAGCCTACTGACCTGAGTAACCGAGCTTAATACCATACACTGCAGAAAAAAATACAAGAAAAGATAAAAGATACCTATGTAAAAACTGCTAATAAGAAGCCACCTAGTGTTTTTTCCTAATCCTGACAGTGACTGCTGCATTAGGATTTAAATGTTTTAATTTATGTGGATTCTACTGAATGCAACTGGGGGACATTTTCACTATCCTTACAGTAGTTTGATTGTTGATTTTATTTTTTAATCTAACAAAGCTTCTCTGAAAGCACACAGAAATGTATTTAAATAGTCTGATAATTTTAGATAAATTGCTAATTTACCAGGGTTATGAACACGAAGTATTAAAGACATCCCTAAGTAATCCAGAATAGCTGCCTCAGTTTTGAAATACAAGAAATCCTACTGAATTTATATACCTTAGGGCATATCTTTAGAATCATAGAATGGAATCATAGAATGGTTTGGGTTGGAA